AGTAAAATCACTGTGTGCGGTGAGTGCTGAGCATGTGGGGGTGTGTGTGGGGAGGGAGGGGTAAAGTGTCTAATCACTTGTTGCAGTAGACAAGTGCACCCATTAGAATGTTTCTCTTTTCTGTTTGGACCCCTCTATGGGCACTATCTCACAGTGACTTCTTACCTAATTTCCTTACCTGTGGCTACTCCCTTCAAATACAGTCTAGACATTGCTGCCACATTAATATTTCCCAAAACATTGTTTTGACATTTGTCATTTCACTCTCCAGCTCCCAAATCTTCCATTAACTCTCTTCTATCAAATTCAACACTCTTCAGCCTGGCATTTATGATCTTCCCACATTCTGGCTCCTGCTCATCTCTCCGGGCTCATCTGTCCACCTGCACTTGTTCCACGTGCCAGCTCGTCTGTGCTGCTCACCGTCTCTGAACACACTGCGTGTTTTCTAACATTGCCTTTGCTCTACTCTTATGTCCTATCTTGTCATCATTTCTCCCATCCTAAGTCTCACCTCTTATCATGAGCTAGAGACTATTATTTATCTCCAAAATATGTTCATCCTTTCTTGTGATTTCTAGTGTTAGAATCACCCAGCTGGGCATATGGCTACCCAACAAAGACTACACTCAACTGAAAGGTGTAAGCACAGGGAATGTACACAGCTTCTATAAGTAAGTGTCCCTTTTCTGCTCCTACATCCTTTTTGCTGGCTGGCCAAAGGATGCGATGGCTCGACCATAATGTAGAAGCTGCATTTCAGGATGGTGAAGCCACACAATGGAAGGGGCCACTACACCAACCTCAGACCACCTGCAGTTATGTGAGAGGAGTAAATTTTATTTTGCTTAAGCTATTGTTACTTTAAGTTTCTTAACTGTTGCAGAAATCAATCCCTCCATGAACATACATTGTTTAGGATAATTTCTAGTGGCCAGTAACAGGAATCCATTCAAAGCTATACCACTTATTATGCAAAATATTTTCAGGATACAAGGATTTCTCTCAGAACCTATGGGAAGGGATAAATGAAGCCTCAGGTATAGACTAGAACTTAGAACTGAAACACTTAAGGAGAAGCCAGGAAGTCCTCCCATTGTGTCTTGTATCTCTCCTCTTCCTTCTGACTGAAGATTACTTTGTTATGTACTTGGTACAGTGAAGCAATAAAGAGATATTGGTCTAGTTGATGGAAATTTGTGTGTGCCCACGATAAACTGCATCTGAAGTCAATTCTCAAAACATTTTCTTATATGTATGTAGCTTGTTAAGATGATTTGCTTGAAGGGAATCATACTTTTTTTCTCTGTTAACCTTTTGTACCAGCCATCCAATTTCCTTCAATTGGTTATTCAGACATCAGATTCCAGTATCACTTGATCTAGTGAAAGACACTTTAGAGACAGTTTTTTTTGGACAGGAGTTGTAAAAGCCAATTTTTATAGGAATGCAGACACTGAACAAGTAACTATTTCACTAGACAGGAAAATGATAGACTATTTTTGGTACATTTCCTCCAGTAACTAGAACTAAAATGTTCCCTTGTAACCTTTTTTCTTTTCCAATTTTGGATTGTTACATATAGTCTGGGTTCCTACTTTTATCTAGACTTGCCATCGGTTTCTTATGCTCTTGCCAGCTCATTGATATATGTTTGATAAACATTTTACATATTTTATCTAGCATTTTTGGTGGGACAATGACTCAGAGTCTCTTGTCTGCCATACTCCCAGACATGAAAGTATGAAAGTCCAATATACTTTTTAAGGAGTTTGAACTTCATTTATTTGTAAGATATAAATCTGTATTTTAAAGACCAACACCCTAACTTGGGTGGGCTAGCTGTCCATTTTCAAGATGAAGTACACACTTCATCTTAGCCAAAAGACTCAGAAGCTTAAAGAAAAACCACCTTTCCCCCTGTGTCAAACTGTTTTTTATAAAGGACTCAAGAGATAATTAACATAAAGTCAGTTTGAAAGTGGAAAGTACCATGCAAATATGCATTTTCTTAACTTTGTAAACAAAATAGTGGCAAATAAGCAATAAAAGTTATAACTAAGTAACAACCTTCAAATGACTTGTTCAATTTCAAATTTCTGTATCTTTGCACTCATTTCCTTTATTTTCTGGCCCCATATATAAATGGGAAAGACTTAAGATTTTTTAAAAAAATCAATCTTATTCTATATGTTGTTTTGACAAAATTATATAATTTTTTTACAAAGATGAAAAAGGGCAAACTTGAGGACACGAAAACTTATCTTTTTAAAGGTTTGTAGCGTCTGTCCCTTCGACATATTGGCAAGCAATCTAACTGAGGATGCTACCAGCACTTTATACATTTTGCAGGCTGAGATTCTGAGTGTCTAACATCCTGTAACATATCTTGGTTTCTGCTGTAAAGACAGAAACGTTGTTATAGGTAACTACTTACTACTTTTCTCATTCTCAAATTGTGCTAGCAGGTTAAGTATTCAGGAGGAGACACCTCTAAATACATTCCAAAAAGCCTCATGGATGGTAGGTGATTTGTAAATCCAGAAACCACTCAGGCACATGGCTACTGCTGAGTTTTTCCTGTAGATGCGTGGGATCTTAGGTCTCATGGAATGTATCACAGGTCTTGTCCTTTAACCGTTCACATGCCAAGACAGGGCACTCTGCAGCTCTGTCATTCACTCATTCTGCATTTATTGAGCCAGTCACACTGCATGTCAGGGCTTGTGTCTGTTTTCAAGATGCTCACAGTCTAATTAGGAAATTGGAGAAATAAAGTTACAATTATAATTGTGTGCTATGAAGAAATAAGGTGCTTTGGGAACACAAGTAGGGGCACTAGAGAGAGTGGCATAGGGCTGGGTGGTGAACAGCAGGGAAGGGCTCATGATGGAATTGATGCCTAGAAAGAATAACAAAGCATAATAAAAAATTAGCTAGGCAAGGAAAAGGTAGGGTATCATAGCGTAACAAGAAAAAGAAACAGCAAATGTAAAGACAGGGATACATGAGAGTGTGGCAAGATGGGAAGAAAGCAGTGTGCTGTGCGTTGAATTTATTCATTCCTTAGTTATCACTGATATACGCGTTTCCCTACATTTGAATCCTTGGATGGTGGGTACTTTGTAATGACTTCTGCTCCCACATAGGTATGCAGATGTACGCAAGGCTATGTTTTATGATGAATGACCAACTACATGGTGTTAGGGAGAATGGTTAGGGAGTCTGTCGATGAGGAAGACCATATCCAGTGGCAGTGAACATGAGATGAGCTGGAGTTAAGAATTATTTGGGAATTAGAATGGGTAGGACTTGATGTGTTGGAGATGCAGTGTAAGTAAATAAAAAAAGGAATTTCTTGGGAGGCTGAGGCAAGAGAATCGCTTAATCCCAAGAGTTTGAGATTGCTGTGAGCTGTGATGCCACGACATTCTACCGAGGGCAACATAGTGAGACTCTGTCTCAAAAAAAAGTACTTTCTAAATTTATGCTTGGATTATAGGTGGATGATAATAGTAATGTTATTAATAGTCAATATTCATCAGGCATGATGTGTCATGCAGTGCACTAAATATTTATACATTCATTTAAACTCTTAACAACTCAGAGCTCAATGAATGAATCTTATACCCATTCAAACTGGGGCTACTAAAGATTAACTTGCCCAAGCTCACATACCTAATAGGTGACAGATTCAAACCCAAGATTTCTGATATTTACTGCCGCTACTAGATGTGGTCAATAAACAGAATGACGGTCCCATTCAATACGTTTATCACATAAATTGCTTCTCTTTTAAAACTGTATGTTTAACTAAACATACAGACACACATGGCGACTGCCTCTTTTTTGTGAGAATTTTATAAGTTTGGTTCGTCCTGTATTTTCACTTTTCCTACCGAGAGGATCTAAAGTGGGGCGGAAGTTGATTAAACGGTTGAATCAAAAGATGGGAGAAGGCGAAGCAACATTCTCGAATGTTTTGGCAGCTGCTAGAACCAGAGACTCTGCGTTCCATCAGAACCATCCCCGCCCCCCACCGCCCGCGCGGGCGCAGACAGACACACACACACGCGCCCGTAGAAAGGGGCATATGGACGCCGAGGCTCAGGTCGGTTCCACCAGTTCTGAACTCACGGCGAAGGTGCCTCTTCACACTCTCAAGCCCAACAAGCCCGAAGTTAACTCGAGGCCGCGTCAACCACCCGCAAAGCCCTGCCAGGCGCCGACTCGCGCGGGTTCCCAAGGAAACCGCCCGCGCAGGAATCCATGGTTAGCGTCGCGGCACCTGCGACAAGCCCCGCCTGGCGCCAAGAGGCGCAGAAGCGCGTCGGCCCCTCCAGCCCCGCCCCCGGCCCGCCCCGGCCCGCCCCCGGCCCGCCCCCGGCCCCGCCTTCCCTCCGCGGGGTCCTGCCTCTCCCGGCTGCCGGCCCCCAGGCTAGCTCCAAACGCAGGCGCAGTCCCGCGTCCCCGTGGCGGCTCCCATCGCGGTGCGCCCGCAGCGGCAGAGGGTAGCGGCCTCGACCGGCTGTCCTCCTCTGCCTCTTGCTGCTTCGCGGCGCGCTCTGTGCGGCTCTGCGAGCGCCTCTGAGAGAGGGCAGCGGCCGCGGTGGGTTCGGCAGGTGAGTGCGGCCGCGGGAGGGACAGGCGTGGAGCGCCGCCCCCCACCCTCGGCGACCGCGAGCCGCCTCCTTAGAGCCGGCCCGGATGGGCGGCCGCGGCAGGTGCAGGTGCTGGCGCGGCGAAGGGCGCGGCGCGCGGGGACCCGGAGGAGGCTGCCTTGGCCCGGGCAGCGCGCTCCCCGGCTGGGCACTGGGGCTCTGGGATGCCCAGCAGCGCGGTGAGGACGGCTTGACTCCTCTGCTGGTCTGGGTCTCCTCGGGCTGCCGGTGGGTGTCGGGCGGCGGCCCCTCCCCCGGCCGCCTCCCGGGCACGGGCGCGTTACTCATTAACTGCGCGGCCCCGAGCCCGGTTACCTGGCGGCTGGCGATCGCGGCCGGCGCTGGGACTCCCGGAGGCGGTACAGGAGTTCCACGGCAAGTCGGCAGCTCGCAGGAGCGGTGCGGAGTGGAGCCACGGCTGGGGACCCGGGGTTCTTTCTTGCCCCAGGCTTAGGGAGGCCGGCGCCGAGCCGTAGAGGTCACCCGCGGGAGGTTTCGGCGAAACCCCAGGGGAAGAAAGAGCGCCAGAGTCGCGCCCTGCGAGGCAGCTCAATTCGCCGGGACTTTTGTTTGGGGGAGTTGAGAGGAGCGGTTCAGACGCGGTCGTAGTGACACTGCCGTCTCCACCGCGGGGGACAGCGAGCTTAATGGTTCCAGAAGTGAAGATGATAGGTGGGAGCCCCAGCACGTGAAGAGTTGCCACTTGTTATGGGATTAAGAAAACATTTATGTGTAATGGCTAAAGGGTAAGGTCTTGACAAACAAGAGCGCCGAATTAATCCTGATTCCTGAGAGGCAATTTAGTTTCGTGGAAATGCTGCCTGTGTGGAGGCTACCTGTTATACACTCTCGTTTCCCCCAACTCCTCTCTCTCTCTCTCTCTCTCTCTGTCTCTCTGTCTCTCTGTCTCTGTGTGTGGGGGGGAAGCTTTGTAATCTCTTGCTGTGGGCTGATTGTGTAATTGGAGGAGAGGCCAATAAGAGGATTAAAACAAAACTGTTCTATTGTAAATCTATTGAAAGAACCAGTTTCCTTTTATTATCCTTATTTTGTTGCTCATGCAGTTTTTAAAAAGTGGTTAAGGAGAAATGAAGGAGAAAAGAGGTAGATGAGGACTGTAGCCCGATTACAGTAAATATTTGATACTGTTAAATATTTCACCAGTTTTATGGGGCCTTGTTCTGTTACCGTTTGTTATTTATTTACTAGTACTGTGCGTTTTTATAGGACTTTTCATGTTTGGACACACATTCCAGATATGGTTTATCAGATTTAATCCTAAAGCCCTTGTGGAATTTATAGAAATACATTTAGTACTTATACAGTTCTACTAAAGTAGTCTCCATCAGAAGAAAAGTCTTTCAGATTTTTTCCATTACAGTAATGTTGTATATTAATCCATACCTTTGAGCACCAAAGTGTTAAATACAACTCCTCCTTGTGTGTTTGGTAAACAGCTTATCTGTGGTATTGAATACCTCTAACCTTTTACCAGCACAGTCATTTGATGTCTAGCTGCTTTGTGGAGTTTCTAATTAGTGGGATTTCTAATTAGATCCAGTTTTGCTTTTTGAATTAGTGTAAATATGCATATGCTTCTTTTAATATTTAGTACCTTTGATTTTTTCCTAAACCCTTAACTTCCTCCAGCACACATAGATGTTCTACAAATAACTTTTTTTTTGTTGTTGTTGCAATTTTTGGCTGGGGCTGGGTTTGAACCTGCCACCTCCAGTATACTGGGCCAGCGCCCTGGTCCTTTGAACCACAGGTGCCGCCCTCTACAAATAACTTTTAAAGTCAAAGGGTTCTTAGAAATCTGGCTCCCTTCTCATTTTTATTTATTTATGTCTTTGAGACAGAGTCTCAAGCTCTCGCCCTGGGTGGAGTGCTGCGGTGTCACAGCTCACAGCAACCTCAAACTCTTGGGCTTAAGAGATCCTCTTGCCTTAGCCTCCCAAGTAGCTGGGACTATAGGTGCTGGCCAGAACCTGGTTGTAGTTGTCATTGTTGTTTGGCGGGCCAGGCTGGATTGGAACCCGCCAACTCTGGTGTGTATGGCTGTCACCCCAGCTACTTGAGCTACAGGCACCGAAACCTCCCTTCTTGTTTTTAAAAATAGCAAAACAAAACCTGGTAGGTTACAGTAGTTTCACATGCTTTATAGTGGGTAGTAAATATTTTTTCCCTTTCTGAGCAGGACATACTGAACTAGTTAGTGAACTGGCTGAATGAGAAATTATTTAACTTTCAGCTCGCTCACTTGCTGTGGGTATAGTCTGGAATAAATCCTTTAACCACAGAGCCACTTTTTCTATTTGTAAATGGAAATAGTATTAGTTTGAAACTTGAAATTGCTAGTATTTGTTTCTTCACATATAAGTTTTTTTTGTATGTTTAAATCTAATATAAAAATAATAATGGGATGAGGATTTAATGAGATGCTCTACATGGGATGTGGTGGGGGAGAAGGGACAAAATGTTAAACTGACATTGTTTTTAGCATTGTACTTGTTGGTTAAGGTTCCTTTACTCTTTAGTCAAGGGACATTCCTGGAATACATATGGTTTATCAAACTTTACAAATCAAGAAGTGGAGGCCCATAAAGTTGAAAGCTGAGATAATTCGCCTGTGGTTGTCAGTGGCCATCTGGCTGGCTAATGGTGGAGCCAGGGTGAAGATTATGTGTGACTTGTAATGAACGTTCCCTATCTACACCTTTTTTGTAGAAGAGCTTTGTAACTATAAGGAGATACACAGATGAAAGGTGTGGTTGCCATTTGTATTTCTGGTTGAAAATTTCCAAGTGTATTGATAATAGTGATGCCACCACTGCTCCTGCTGCTGCTGAATCCAGTGTTTGCCGTGTGCCCAGTCCTGATGTGAGCACTGTTCTAACTCATTCACTGTCACAGCGAGCTAGGACCTAGATGATACTTTATCCCTATTTTATTGTTGAGAAAACTGAGAGATAAATTATATCATTTGTCCAAGGTCACATAGTTGATTAAGTGACAGATCTAGATTAGAAGGCAGTTTGTCTTCCATGTTTGTGCTTTTCTTTAAAAATAAGACATAGACTGTTTCCCAGGTAGAATGCAGTAGTGTTATTACAGCTCGCTGCAACCTCGGACTCCTAGGCTCAAGCCTAGGAGCCAAGTAACTGGGACTACAGGTACCTGACATCATGCCTGGCTAATTTTTCTGTTTTTTGTAGAGATAGGGTCTCATTCTTGCTCAGGCTGGTCTTGAACTCTTGAGTTCAAGCGATCCGCCTGCCTTGGCCTCCCAGAGTGTGAGGATTACGGCATTTACTGGGTCCTGTGATTGTGCTCGTAACCACTGTGTTGCTTCTTCACGTACAGGTGTAATGTTAGAGAATTATTAACTTTTAATCACTATACCACCATTTCTTCAAGTGTAGGTTGTAATACTGAAGAATTGTTTTTAATTTGCTTTTATGAGATACTTAATATTAGTGTAATGTATAGTTTTTAATATGTCAACAGAAATTTTTTAAAATTAAATATTCATTGAGCATCTACTCTGCAAGTCTCAGTAGAGATTAAAGGAAAGTATTCATAAGGAGTCTGGAAGGTAGAGTCATATGATCATCCCTACTACATTCTAAGTTCTTCAAAAGGCTCTCTGATCCTTTTGAGGACCATGAGTTCTTCAAAAGGCTCTATGATCCATTCTAAGTCCTTCAAAAGGTCATATGATCATTCCTACTACATTCTAAGTTCTTCAAAAGGCTCTCCGTCTCATGTACAGTATATACATATTTATTATTTTTTTCCTTTTTGGGACAGGATCTTATTCTTTTCCCAAGGCTAGAGTGCCTTGGTGAGATCATAGCTTAATGCAGCCTCAGACTCCTGGGCTCAAGTGATCCTCCTGCTTCAGCCTCCCAAGTAACTAGAATTACAGGTGCACACCACCCTACCTGGCTAATTTTTAAAATATTTTTCAGAGATGAGGTCTTGCTGTGTTGTCCAGGCTGGTCTCAAACTGCTAGTCTCAAACAGTCCTCCAGTCTTGGCCTCCCAGAGTGCTAGGCTTATTTATAGGCCTGAGCCTATCCATATATTTTAATGAGTGCTGAATAAGACAAATGGCTACAGTTGTTGAGTAGTGGGGAGGAAGGAAGGTTGAGCAGTGGATAGAGATACTCATGCTTTGAAGTAATAAGGGAAAGCCTTGCGGGTATTCTGATCGCGTACAGTTTTTCAAACTAAGATTTTGTGCAACATAATTCTGGTTAAGATGTATTTCAACAAAAGATGGTAAAGGGTGGGAAATTGATTATTAAGTACTTGATATTCTAAAAATAAAACATCCGAGCTTTTGAAAACTTTCTAGTTTGTTTCCCCTTTTCTGTACTAACTAACCTTAGTTGTACCAAGTAGTACTTTTTTTTGTTTTGAGATTCTGTAGCAGACGCCTCTAATTTAGTATTTATTGGTTTTGACATTTGCATTGTATTTGTAGCTGACTCTAGGGCACTAGAAATATGTTTATTGACATGGTGGTGTCTTCCTTTAGTTTATAAGCGCTTTGGGGGCAGGGCTTGTCCCATTAGATAGTTTGGGCGTTGGTCCTGGTAGTCACCATGCTGTGCTTGGTGCTGGGTGGTCAGTTGAAAAATGTTAGGATGTATGAAATTGATCTAGCCGTAGAACCTGAAATGAGTACTGTGAGTGGGAATTGAGGGGACTGAGGAAGGGGGGGCACTCAACACAGACAGCACTAACTTAGCATCTCTCTTCTCCCTTCTGCTTTCTTGTTCAACTTACAACTAAATGAGGTATTTTTATAAGCTTAAATTGTATGTAGTCATGGTTAGACAAAGGTAGAAAAAGGGATTTTGATTGATTTAATTTTTTTTTTCAGATTAATGTGAGGGTACAAACAATTAGGTCACAATATTTGCGTTTGTTAGGTAACGTCCCTATTGTAGTCGTGTTCCACCCCCAGGACGTGTGCCTTATACTCTTATGTTGTGTCCTAATGGTGGCAATCCCTTCCCTCCTTCTCAGTCTTGATTTATTTTAGAATATAGGCAACACAAAATTAAATAACTATGGCTGTAAGTTCAGATTACATAGAGGAAAAAGAATGAAAATTATTGAAATGGTTCAAGTTCATGAGAGATTTGCTGCTTTAGTTTAGCAGCAGGATTTTATAAGCATAGTGGGGAGTGATGAAACTCCCCTGGGTGGGTGTGGCTAGAGACAAAAGAGCATGCGCATTGACAACTCAGTGGAAACTCCATTCACAAATATACTCACGCGCTGAAAGCACTGTAGCTTAGCACCAGTTAAGTAAGTGAATTGTAATTTGATGTGCCCAGAGGAGAGTAGTGGTATTGAGTTTGTTTTGGGGCTCTGGTTGAGAGATGAGAATAAAGTGTAAAGGAACAACCAAAATCAGGTTGAAAAACAGTAAATGTGCACTAATTAATTCCCTCTTGGGAGGAGAATCATGTTTGAACTGTATACTTCAGAAAGGCTTGTTTTCCTCCTCCTCTTATCTTGACCTAGGAGTCCCTTCTGGTTCATAAGGCGGATCCCTCCGTGAGCTCCTGTTAGTTTCCCCATCACTTGCTCTTTCTTTCTTAGATTTTTATAAAATCATACATTTGTTTTCTGCTTTGTGTGAAACATTTTTATAGTGATAAGCCATTTTAAATGTAGGCAGGGGCGATAATACATGTGTCACTACCATCCCAGATGTGGAAACTGA